TGGGTATAGCCCTCGCTGTGGCCCTGGGTATAGCCCTCAGTGTAGCAGTTGGTGTGGCCCTCGGTGTGACCCTGGGTATAGCCCTCGCTGTGGCCCTGGGTATAGCCCTCAGTGTAGCAGTTGGTGTGGCCCTCGGTGTGACCCTGGGTATAGCCCTCAGTGTAGCAGTTGGTGTGGCCCTCGGTGTGTCCCAGTAAAACATCAGACACACCCATTTGGAGGACCACGTCCAATACGTTCCCTGGGGAAGTACCTCCCCCCCCCCCACAAGTTGCTTAGGCTGACTGTGAAAAGGTGTTAATTGCAGATAAAGAGCCATCACCATAGCAGGAACAGACACTGGAAAGGAAGCCTATCGACTATGGCTGGGGTAGAGGCGGGGGTGCAGCGGGGGAGCAAACTGTGTCCCACTTGTTATTATCAAAGCAAATGAACCTAAACTTGCCATCATTTCGCAATGAATGGACCTTCATTTTCCCTGGATTTGTTCACAGATGCACATTGTTGACAGGAGCCTGTCCTTTTCTACTCTTACAGTAAATACAATAAATCACATATTTTTACAGGTGATCATTGCTGTGACACATGCTGGTTGTGATTTTCCTCACAATTTTAGTGAAAAGGAGTTATATGCCAGTTTTAGCTGTTATGGCTTGGGAGCAATTAGCTAAATGGTGCAAATGGCTCCAGACAGGAATTCCAGATGAGCCCACCATTGTAGGCTGCTGAGATGGCAATGTCAGTGAGGGGGAGTTCAGGGGGGGGGGGGGAACGTGCTTTTCTGTTGTCCTTTTTTCGCGTCAAACTTCATGGGCCAGGCTGTCCAGAGCGAAAAAGGGTACTGATGACCTCTAAAGCCTTCCAGGCTCACAGACTCTGCGGAATGAAAGGCTGCTGCTCTGTTTTGGGCATTTTCTCATAGTCACTCATCCTCTCATGTATTCCTGTGGCCATGTCCCTCTGCTGTGTGTTCCCGTGGTTACACCCCCAGTCTCTGAGTCCAGCCTAATCTCTTTCAGGATCCTTGAACTGCAGAAGGCCACACAGCGGAAGCGCATCTCCAGCGACAGCGCAGTGGCAGAGGCTCCAACGCATGGCGACCCACCACGATCGCCCGTGTCGTCACCCTGCAGGTAAGCTGGGCCCTGGGTCACATGATGGCGGTGCTGCTCAGTACTGCCTCTCACTGGATGGATGAACAACATGCAACTGTATACATATAAACCAGGGGTCTCCAACTCCGGTCCTGGAGAGCTACTATCCAGTAGGTTTTCTATCATACCCGGCTTCTGATGAGCCACACCTGTTCTCAGGTAAATACCAGGAGCAGGTTTGGCTCATCAGAAGCCAAGTGGGACAGAAAACCTACTGGATAGTAGCTCTCCAGGACCGGAGTTGGAGACCCCTGATATAAACTGTGAGCACCCTGGTTACCTTCTGCAGTCCAAAGGTACACATGCAGTTAATCGGCATCTCTAAGCTGCCATGGTGTATGCTTCTGTCGGTACATTTACATGCACAGCTAAGTCGAGCTACAGTTATAGCTCAACTACACCACTTAATACAGACGCTCCTCTACTTACAAACTTTCAACTTACGAACTTTCAGACATACGAACGAAGAGGACTTTAAGTCCGAATTGTGTTCATCGGGCTCCCGTTTCCTGTCTGCAACTAATTTTGTATTTTTTTCTGCGCGCCAATTCCGCCTAGTATGACTTCTGCCCGCTACTCCCACCGTGCAGCAGCGTAGCGTGCGTACTCCCAGCATCCTAGTTTTTTGTACTTGTGTATACCCTTAAAATGATGTTGAATAACGATTTACAAACATTTCAGATTACGAGCGTCCGTTCGGAACGTATCTCATTCGTAAGTAGAGGAGCGTCTGTACTGTCTTTGTCCCAGTATACATGCATGGTATGGGAATCGATTTAATGACTGAAATATGTCCGACTCCACTACAGTATGTGCAATATGGCTCCTTTCAGCTTGATAGTATTGGGTTTTTCCAGTTGACCTATTACGTCACAGACGTAAAAATAATAAAATTTATAATAATGGATGTGTGGACAAATTAAGTCACACATGCTTTAATTGCAGTCTGGTTGGCAGAAGAGATACAACAAGATCAGGATAGCATAAAAAGAAATAAAATATTTTGTATAATATACTATGATGGCAAAGTATTGGACATTTTTCAAATATTGCAATTTTATTGTAATAAATATTGGGGTATTTATGAAACAAAAAACATGAATTTCTCACAAACCTGTCTAGGTTGATTTAAACTGCAAGAATGATAATAATTATGATCGTCTCAGAAAATGCATGCAGCGCTCATGCAAAAGCAGTGGAGGTAAATTTTAAACTGATTTTCAAACATATGCTAGATAATCTTGAAAATGAATAATAATTAAAATTGCCCTAAAATTGCAAAAAAATTGCTATTTTTTTAAGTATAAACGTTTTACCGAGATTTAAACTCACTGCACTTTAATATTCATAAATTGAACGTAAAGCCTGATCTTAATGTAGCTGACTAGCAATGTAAGAATTGGATGTGCATAACATGCGATGTCGGTATTAATATTGCATGTCGTCAAGTCCTACCACAGCCATTTTTTGAATTCAGTAGCCTACAAAATATCCTGCCTCGTGTTGTGATGTCATTCGGCACAGGTACCAGTTTTTACGGCAGTGGAAAACCAACACCTTGAAGTACCGTACTTTTGGTACCTTCTTAAAGCTCCAAAATACAGTACCTGGTGCGGTGGAAAAGCGCCCTTTAGTTAAGCAGTGAATTGGACAACTTTACAGTACTGTACATTTCATACATGCTGTATGTCCTCTGCTATGCTCCATGCTTCTTCTGTGTACTGGCTTTTTGTATTACTTCTGGGTCAAAGCCCAGGGAGAGGGACTGTGAGGCATGCACAGAGCACCTAGGCCAGTTTGAGGGTTTGAGTCCGATTGAACGTGTACATGCAGATGTAAATCGATTCCCAATCACATTATCTGAGTATCTTAGTCCGATTTTGAGAAATTCGATTTAGTACAATTTCAGTCGGACTAACATGTTTACATGTACTTTAAAAGTCCGATTTTAGCCAGGCTAACACAATTACAGTCGGCCCTCATTTATCGCAGTTAATCAGTTCCAGACTCTACCGCGATAACTGAATTTCCGCGAACTAGGATTCTTTATTTATAAATTGAATATTTCTGTAGTTAAACCATAGAAAACCTGTTTACGACCATCTAACTACAATTTTTAACATTATTAGAGCCCTCTAGACATGAAATAACACCCTTTAGTCACCATTACTGTTATGATTGCTGGACACTGAAGCAGGAATGGGGAGACGAGGAATCAGGATTGAAGGGTTTATTTGGAATCACTCCAAATGCAGGACACAGAAACATGTAACATAAAAATGTCACTGACAGACCAGTGGCCTGTACTACGAAGCGGGGTTACTGGCTTATCGGGGTAACTTGTCGGATTTAAGGTAGGCTGGGCAAAATGTAAGTGAACGAATATGAAGTCCATTTAAACTGTGGTACCTTAAATCCGACAAGTTACCCCGATAATCCAGTAACCCCGCTTCGTAGTACAGGCCACTGGGGTTACAGACTCTGACATGGACTGACTGGACGAATCAAACTGACAGAAAACAGCTGGTCACAATCGGGGTTGTACACGTGGTTAATAAGTGGGCGTGGCACACAACCTGGGCTATACCCTAGCCCTCCACCCAGTGCTGCCCCCTGACTAGGTGCCCTTTCTGATAAGGCCCCATACCATGGGGGGTCACAGCAGCCTGCATCGCTCCTCTGCCCTTTCTCTGGTTAGGCCTCATGCTGCCTTCTTCCCTGCATCCATATGGCCACAGCGGTACAGTATCAGCTGGCCCTTCTGGTTCCTCCGGCCGTTGCCTGCACGGAATCTCTTTCTGTTTGCAGACCAGGAACAGTGAACGGCATGGCACTGTATTTAATGGTTATGGTACCGTCTGAGTTGCCTCTCAGAATTGAATGTACCGTGAAATATGAAGCTGCTTGCTGGCCCTTGATATTTAGTCCGGCTCTAATGCGGCTGGTAATGGCGCCCATGTGACTTTCTGACATCTGTGTTATCTGCAGGCAGGTGCCCCATTGGGGGGGAGCTGTAGGAGGCTCTGGCCACTCAGCATCGCTGCCTTTCACGTCACCGTCTGGCACCACACTCAGTCATCACAGCCCACTCTTTTGCTGGGTGTCGTTCTCTCATGATCCTTTGTTTTTGTGGCCACATTGAAGGCTTGGCCTAAAATCACACACAGCCGCCGTTAGATTCAGTCTGTCACTCAGGCAAGAGACCAGCTATCCCATCCATCCTTTGCTGACCCACTCTTTTTCATGGTGACCCGTGAACAAACAAACCTTCTCTTACAATTCCTCAAGCTTTTTTGGCAGCAGGGACAGGAATAGTATGTTCTGAAATGAAATCAAGAAAAGCTTCATCTTGTTGCCGCACGTGTGTCTGTTGGAGCCTTTGGTTGGAATGTCTGCATCGCTGTTTGGCTGATTCAGCACTTAAGTGAATGGTTTCCTTTTCTAGCTGAATGAACCTGGACAGTGTAGCACTAACAGCTCGTAAAACTGACCACATGTAAGCCCTGTTCCTGCTCAAAATCTGCCCATTTAGTTTCCTTCCTTTCGGTTTTTCGATTACATTGTGAAGAAACCTGGGCATCCTTCGTAAGATCTCAGCAGAGCAAGATCTCAGCAGAGCTTTCCAAATCCCTCCAGCCACTCTTTCCGCTTCAGCCCTGTTTATTTGTACTGTACTCTTTCTGTGCTTTACTTTGAGTTCTGTGAACCTTGAGCACGTCTGACCTCCCTCCATCACTCTCCCCGTATCTTGGCCATCAAATCGATCTGTTTCATAACCTTGCTCTGACGCCAGTCCCGTGTCGTGCAGCTGGAAACCTTGTGTCACGGACGCTGTTCCTATGCAGCCTGTGTGATCCTCTGCACGTCTCTGCATCACACTTCACCTTCAGACTGAATCACCATGGCAACCGTTAATTAAGTGTGCTGCTTGGAGGACCCCCAGTCACAATTCGACCTGCTCCCTCATGCTTCAGACACAGAAAGCAGTGAGGTTCTGCTGCCTGCCACTCAGCTGCCTTTACCCACAGTGTGTCCGCACACAGACATATGTGTTGCCAGGAGAAGCCTCACGCTGTTCTTCCCTGACAACTTATAAATTGTCTTGTGCATTGCGTCTCATTTGGGGTTTTATATTTTCCCACAGATAAAAACTTAGCGCAGTGACAGGGGCTGCTACTTTGTGTTTAGCGAGATGAATACCCCTTAATCACCTTGTGTCAGAGTGATCTACATAGAAGGTCCGTTATAATCGGGAACGAAAGACAGGATTGATGGAAGTATGCTTTGTTTTCCCTTTTGTGAGTGAAATTAAGATTATTCAAATGATCCAAAAATGAGCAGCAGTCCCTCACTGAGGGCTTTGTCCCCCTCCTGACCCCCACCATGGGGGAAGAACGCCACTTTTAATCAGGACAGCACTTTGGAATTGCTTGAAATTGTTGACTTGTATAATGGCCTGGCTAAAGGGTTTTTTTTGAAAGGCAAATGCACGCTTTTGAGCAGTGACAGGAAATAGGTTATCAGTTCTTTTTTCCAGATCCTATCTATATTTTCCCCGTGTTCCAGCTTTGCACACTCTTAACTTGATCTGAAAAAACCTTTCATTTAAACTAACACAAAACCAACTCAGAATTATAAATCCTGTGTAAGTGGTAATCTAACAAAGAAAGAAAGAAATATTATTGCCATTAAACATGAAAAAATACTGCAAAATGAGTTAAAATGTAATGTTCTAGAAACACTCTAAGATATGCTGTGTCAGAGTCTCTAAATGACTCCAAGCTCTAGTGAAACAGGCTAAGGGTATGAATACCATATTAAAATCAAAATAAATTCTTTGTTAAAATGATGATGTATTTTCTCTGTCCATCATCCAATTACTGCACTGCTACTCAGCATCAGGATAGAGCCTCTGTGTCGTTGGCTCCACATCATGCAGAGATGTTATTTAGCTGTGGAGCCTCTCAGTGTTTATTAGGTTGACAAATTTTCCCCACATGTGTGGAAGCGCAAACATCACAACCTGGCAAGTGCATGCCGCTGTTTTGCTGCCCCTCACCAAGGTAGTCAACTGGAAAGATTTAACTAAGTCTGTTGGGTGATGATTTCTGTGAGCTTCAGAGCTTCTGTCAGGTAAAGGCCTCTGTGGGATTTCTCACGTTTTGTTTGCCCAATCATCTAGCACCTCGTGGTTTTCTCTATGTGTATACCTTTGTAAACACTGTATGTACTTTATTTACTGACATTAATTTTCCATCTCCTATTTATTGAGTACAGGCTTGCAGGAGGTCTAGCCACTGTCATATAGCAAAATGACAAAATCAAAAAGATGATTCACTATTACTTTGAAAAATGGCCTTGATTGACTATATACCGTACTCAATTTGGGAGTTTTTATGTTGGCAAATTCACACAAATAAATGTCCATGACTCCCTCATTCCATATGCAGGAAACACTGGGAAATGAGTGACAGCACATTGCATGGCAGAGTCTCGCTGTAGGGCACACTTCTGGCCTGCAGCACATCGCAGAGCAGAGTCTCGCTGTAGAGCACACATCTGGGCGGCAGCAGATCACAGGGCAGAGTCTCGCTGTAGAGCACGCTTCTGGGCATCAGCACATCTCTGGGCAGAGTCTCACTGTAGAGCACGCTTCTGAGCAGCAGCACATCTCTGGGCAGAGTGTCACTGTAGGGCACGCTTCTGGGCATCAGCACATTTCAGGGCAGAGTCTCGCTGTAGAGCACGCTTCTGAGCAGCAGCACATCTCTGGGCAGAGTCTCGCTGTAGNGCACGCTTCTGAGCAGCAGCACATCTCTGGGCAGAGTCTCGCTGTAGGGCACGCTTCTGAGCAGCAGCACATCTCTGGGCAGAGTCTCGCTGTAGAGCACGCTTCTGGGTTGCAGCACATTGCGTGGCAGAGTCTTACTGTAGATCATGCCTCTGGGTGGCCCCAGAAACAAAATGCAGCAGGGGACAGCATTCTAAGCCCCAGCTTTGAGGAGTTTGGCCGTAGTGTTGCCCACTGAGCTTGCACACAGTCCAGTTCCTGCCTGTACAACTGTTTCTTTTATTCCTAAATAATGGTTACAGGGACAGATGGAATCTTAACCTTGGCAATGTGCGTATAATGATGATATGAGGCTTAAGTAATGTGCCCAAAAAGGCAGAAAATGCTTGAGGAAGAAGCAGAAAGGGTTAAACCTGAAAGAATTTCTCCCTCTCTTAGTATCCATTGGAGAAGAGGCAGTCCAAGCCACAGTATGCTCCTCTGTCAATATTTATTTCTTCAGAACCAGTGACCCACAGTTCAGTACTGAAACACAGTTTTACCTAGAATTGTGAAAGAAAAACAGGACTTCATTTTAATTTTTTATCAGATATTTGTCTGAGAATTCACTTAAACCAAAATGAGAAATAGGATATTTGTATATAAAAGAGGCAGAAGGAGCTTAGTTTTACCTCGGCCCTGTTAATGATCCTAACGGGATAAAGCTGTCTAATTAGGGACTCACAGGCACAGTAACACAGAAAGAGAATACTGCATTATTGTGAGGATGAATTCCTTGGATCAGAGCATGCTGTTGGTATTTTGGCTGCTCTAACTCAGGGAGCCCTATTTTCCACCAGTGCAAAGTGCAACACAAAGTGGTTTTGGTAGTTCTATACCAGCATATTGCTCATTTTCATGCCATGCTTGCACGTCGTCAAAATAGCAAATGATTTTGCACCTGCCTTGCACTAATAGGAGTCAGAGAAATGACACTACACTATTAACCAATAAAAACGACATCTAAAGTCAGTGGCATATTATTAAATGGTATTTAAGCGGTATGTTTTGGAAATGTGCAGGTGCACAATGCTTGTTATTGACACAGGTATGCGCTTGAGGTGCAATTATGTTTTTTTGTTATTTAATTTAATTTAATTTAATTTATATACATTTTTAGTACATTTGATCCTTTCACATAATCATACTGTTTAATGAAACACCACAAGAAAAATGATATATATTAAGAACAAACCGTATCATTAAAAAATCTTTCAAGTTCATTATCAGAATTAAGCATGTACTGTAATTGAAAGGACATTTGGAATGCTGAAAAAGCGTTTCGAATATTTAGAAAAGTCAGGTGGAAAGTCAGCCTTCAGAAGGAAGTGGCACTCTTTGTGGCATGTTGTATATTGCCTAACATTGCCATGCGTGATGGATGTCTGTTGGACATGAATGAGGACACATTAGAGGACTATAGAAAGCGTGATCCTGAAGTGCATGTGCTGATACCAGCAAAGGAGTGTACACCCGCAGCAGTTCGGGTAAGGTTGGGATTAGCTGGCAGAAGGGCTGAATTGTCTTTAGCCTGATAAGGAATGTAAATTATGAGATGTAGAAAAATAACGGCCCTATTGCCTTTTATTTGAACATTATAAAACAGTTGTTCTGGTTGAACAAACATGGCGGTTTTATTTATATTTTGCAAACTTACCTAAACTACCTAACTAACCAAAAAAAAAAAAAAAACACAAGCATAATTAAGTCCCCGTTCCCAGCCACTGTGCTTGTTCAGCAGCGAACTTTCGGCACGGCATGGATGATCTGGTGATGCTAGAAAACAAGGACACACTCACTTCTACCTCATCCCACGCCTGCTTTACCTCGAAAGACTTAGGTGAAACAGTGGTGCTCCAGTAGAAGATGTTAGTTGTGCTTTGCGCTTTGTGTTAGATCGTCAAAATAGAGGCCAGGGTCTTGGGGTTCAGAGGGGTCACAGTTCACAAGTTCATTGTTCATTCTGACTATGATGGGATACCTCTTTGAAGCATTACGAGTATATTCATTGTGAGCAGATGGAAGGCCATTTCTAGAGGGTGGGACTGGACTGTGTGGAGGGTTGCCAACTGGGATTCCGTGGTGTTTCGTCTTGTGGTGGGTGCGGCAACACACTGATCAGTGTATGCTCCCCAACATGGCCTGACCTGATTCTGAGTATTATGGGGTACCTGTCCATCCAGATAAATATGGTATCCTTGGTAGGTTAGATTTGTTTAAAGTTTTACAGTGATGTGTTTTCTGAAACAAATCATCCCTTAAAAGATACACGCTGACAATGTGAATAAAACAAGGGCAGTGTTCAGCAGGAGGCTGGTAAGGGTCTGTACTTCACAGGCCTGTACATAAGGCCCTGCTGGCCTTATCATTATGGCCGGCTTATAGCCCCACATCCAGCCTACTAGCCTGCCTTCAGTCAGGGATCTTTCTGTGCCTCTCAGGGCCCTCCCTGGCTTAGCACTGCAGACTGGCTTTAGACAAGCTGACAGCTGAGCCCTCCCCAGTCTAACTGGGAGTGACAGCAAGGCAGCTTAAGGCTCTGCTCTCTGTCCATTCTGGGGGGCTTCCCACAACCTGCCATGGAAGGAGCAGAGTTTGAATGTATGGGGTCACGCTCTAGCTAGGCTGCCTTATCTTGGGCTGGGAGGTGAACAAGAACTACTCTCTTCCCAACATGAGCCGACGCTCCTGCAGCCCTGTTTTGTCTCCCATCTGTAATGAAAATGAAAACCAATCATTATACTCCTTTTCTGTCTTTTCTCCTCACCATGGAGATGTACCATGGATTGTCAGGCTTACTCTTTTGAAATTAATGACAGTGCACTAGGATTTCCTAAGCAAAAATGGGTAACGATTCAAAGCATTTATATTTGCAGTATCTCCAAACAGATGTACCCAGCAGGCTCCTATGGTGTATATAATGCAAGATTTGTGCTCCATGAGTGTTTTTTGAGTCTCACATAGCTCTTTGGCAATATAATAATGCAGAACAATTCAATGAGACATGAAAGATTAAAGGTAAATCCAGTTCTTTTTTTCTCATTAGGTCTGAGGGGACTGCCATATGTAACACGGATAAAGGTAAATAATACTTTTTATTTTTCTTATTTCAGAATTTTATAAATATGGTAAAAAGAAAAATAGTTACACATTTCATGCTAGGTGGAGTGGTAGTTGTACCAGTTACAGGATATTGTTCCAATCTAAAATATACCTTTAAAATGGCCATCTCAGATCGAGCTGTTTTCAAAGAGGGTTCAGGGGTTGGACGATTCCTTGCCGGCCATTTTGTTTAGCTGACCCATCCTCTTCTCTGATATTTACTGTTCTGGCCAACCAGGTTTTACCATTAACCCTTTTTCTTAATGGCCCAAAATTTAGTGGAAGATCCAAAGTGAATGGTTTAATAGATGGTCTTTAGGGGATGAGATATTCCTACATGATGCCTTGATTTCAGTCCCATGTTTTTTGTATTTTGATTTATTTCACCTTCCGTTACTTCCATTAACCAGTAACTTCAGTTACTGGCTAGACTCTGCTAGAGGCAACACATGTGTAAGAAGCAATCCATGTACGATTTGATATTTTAATGCACTTTCACTGGGACATTATGAATGAATAAGCAAGAGTATTACTTGTAGTGATAAGCAATATTGATGCATTTTTAAGTTTCATTCATGTGTTATGTTTTAAAAAAATTGGAGTACTATTTAACCAGGTGATATGTACAGTACCTTCATCAAGTCAAACTAAGTTAAAATGGTACAACAACATGCCAACAAATGAACATACTGCATCTTTAAGATTGTGATCATAAGCACATAAAATAACTAACAACTTGACAGGCCCCCCCTCTTCTCTGATTATGGTTTAACCCCTGCCGCTATCCCAAAAGTACACTCGGGTCGGGCTCTGGAATTGGGCCAGTTCTGTGTTCTGCTGGCTGCAGTGTTTTTGCTCTGCCTCACTGTCTATGCTGTGGTTACTCTCAGCGTGACACCGGAGGTTGGGAATTCAGACATACTTATTAGCTGGGGCAGATGGTCACGTAATCGAGCAGTGATACAAAGCACAAGCTGTTAAGTCAAATTATACACTTAAGAATACTTGTTCCATTTAACTATTAAGGTGGTGATTAGGAAGGTCCAAAAACAGGTCCAAAAAAAGACACATTTGTCATCATTGCTCATTAATTTGTTTCATTAATTTGTTTTTCTTAAAGAGATAGATTCCGTAATGGATGTAAAGGACATTTGAGACTTTGCTCTTAGACTCATTAATTTTCATGCAGTTTTCTGAAGAGTGAATTATGTATAAATTATATTCTCATACTGGACTGGAAATAATTCCTACACTGAATAACTGCCACTGTCACTTTGAGCCTTCCTGTAGCAGCAACAGAATTAATGTGATAATTTATATGAGCATGTTTAATACTATTTTTTTTTAGTATCAGCTGAAATACTCTTTGAGTGTGTGAAGAGCAAAGACCACCGAATGGTAAGTGAAAAGACCCCCTTCTTCCCGTAATGAGGACACTGTTGTTATCGGTGCCCTTAAAAAAAATGCTCTCTTGAGGGCTCGAAGGTTAGTAGTGTCAGAGAGCATTAGCAGACATTCCTCCCAGAATGTCAGATGCTGTGGGCAGCTGAACCCTGCACTTTGAAATACCATGCATACTATAGACAGAATATGTCTTAAAGCAGATTATTCCTGCAAGTCCCTACAAGAACAACACTCCTCAGTCTCCTGTAAGTGTTATGCAGACAGGGTAATAAATTACTTCCATCAGCAGACAGCTTTTTGGGAGCTCCTGAGCGCGACTTTGCTTACAGGCACTGCCACAAGCTGAGCCTCCCCCCTCAGACTCTGGCATGGCGCAACTCTGACTCGAAATTCCATAGCTGACACTGTTCCTCAGCGGAGGAGTGAGCCAGTTAGCAAGCATGTCTGGGCTGACCTTTTCCTGAGTGCCATATGATAAGGAATTTTAGTGTTTGCTAGAACTCTGGCTGCTGTATTTTGTTCTACCTGAAGTCTATGTAAGGGCAACCAGAATGGAAGTCTATGTAATGGCATTACAGTAGTCCAGTCTGGAAGTTATAAAGGCATATATAAGTTTTTCTGCATCATGAAAATATAGACGGTCCCCTTTAAATACCAGCCGACAGTATCATTTTTAATAATGTTAAAGGTTAATTATATAGCTTCAAGTGAAATCTATGGATAGGTACTATGGCCTCACCCTAACCCTAACCCTAACCCTAACCCTTGGTTAGGACGGCCTTGTGTTTGCACAGCAGATTAACTATACAGAGCTTCCACTTGGCATTAGTCCTCATGGAAGTGGTGGACTTAACTGTTTCCATAAAATCAGCATCTGTTCCACACTCCAAACATTGCTTACTGATGATCCAGCGCATGGGGTATAGCATCACTCAGCCTCTTTAGAATAAGCTTGGGTGGTGATGTTAAACAAACAGAGTGAGGAGCAGCTTTTTCCCGAGAGCAGTACCCTCCGTCACACCCCTTCCCACTACAGAACACTGACCATTAAGTCACTTCCACACCTCTGTATTGCTGCTGATATGCACTTGCTCACTTTAAATCACAATGACTTGTAAATACCTATAATCTGTAAATAATTTTAGAGGTTTTCTTTAGTTTTTTTATATATTGTATTTTATTAATAGTTATCTTAGGTTTTATTCATATTTATACCATGTCTACGAGACTGTATTCTGTATTAATGTGGTACACTAATGTACCTCTTTGCTGCTGAGCCATAAGCTACCAAAGAAATTTTGTTGTATTTCTGATACAATGACAACAATAAAGTCTCTCTAATTAAGTTTAGAAGAACTGGAACGGTGGATGAAGACTGACTGTCAACTGTTTTTCCGCAGCTGAAGGAGCTTCACAAGCTGGGGGCTGACCTGTCTGTGCAGGACTCATCTGGCTGCACGTTATTGCACCATGCAGCCACTGCCGGCAGCAAGGAGATTGTCAAGTACATCATAGACAATGGTAGGACATCTACTCACGATGACAATGTGAAACAGTTAGCACAGCGTGAGGGGCAGCACTCAATTTCTCCATAATAGATGTCCTACTGGACAGAGATTTAACCTTATTATACTGCACATACCTAGGCAGAGACGCATAAGACACTTACGATGTAGAGCCATCGTGGTGAAAACATCTTATCAACAAGTAATGTGTGTACTAGGGCATTTCAGGCAGAATTACTAGTTGAATTTCACCAGTTACTTTGTGAATAATATTTGGTTTGATGTGAAACACTAAAAAGTAGCTTGAGTAAATTAAATTGAAAAAGAAATTCAATTAAGCTGAAGCGGTAGCTCAAGTGCAGTTGTATACTATAACATTTAATAGCCTTTGCCCTGGGCAGTTATAGGGAATGGAAATGTTCAACAACATAATCCTAACAATACTTCTCTGGATTATAGGCTACTCCATTAATTTATTTCCGCACAAAATATGACATCACTCATTGCTAGAAAAGGATAAATTAAATAATTAAAAGTAGCGTTGAAACTAGGGTTGAATGATATGCTACAATATTTATAAAACAAAAAAGGAGTTTAATATTCACCCAAAACATACTATGGCTAAGTAGAACTTATTATTACCTATCAACAGAGTCTGACTTTACTGGGAAAGGCAAGTCTGTAGCTCATATTCTGGTTAACTTGCCAAAAAGTCTATATTGGTACACTGACAGTTCACTCTTAAAATGTATTAGGAATGAATTTCACAGACCATGAATTTCAATAACATTTTTAATGACAACCATAATGGCAACCTAAGTATACATGTAAAATTAGCAGCATTATCAGATTCTCTTACACTTGTTGCCGACAGTTGTGCTAATGACAAGCAGTGCTGGCAAACCAGTTGTTTTTAATCAGTGTCATCTCCATCTAATCCAAAATATTTCCATACAGCGAAAGACTAATGTCTTCTGGTGTTCAGTTCTTGTGCGCCTCAGTCATTTTTGTTAATTTTCTCGCAAACATGTCACACTATGAGTGAACAAGGATGAAAATGATTGGCTCAGAGAGTGCATGCCGAGCTCACGCGAAAACAATAGCTGTAAATTTCAGATTAAAAAAACACAAACTTATTAGTGAACAAATAAATCAAAACTAATTATATTTCTGCTAAAAATATTTAAAATAGCTCATTTATTATTTGATTTTATTTGACTGTTTTTCTGTTTTATATATGTTATTTGAAAATGCTGACTCATCCCTAATGGGTACATGGTGAGGTGACGTGCTATTCTGATTGTTTTTTTTTGCATGTCACTCCCAAAATGCATCTCTGAATAATTAGGAGAGTTAAGACAACCTTTTCGTGGCTTGTGCTGGCGTATAGACTGTTTTTTCCATTGTCAAAATACCAAAATAGATTTGGACATTACCATACTGTCCTAACAATCAAGTGTCAAAATTGCTCTTGTTTTGCTATCACTGTGTGGCACTGCTTCAGTTTTAGAGCATTTTAAAATTAAAAATTTTTATAATTTTTTTCTTCATACACCTTTCCCCATAACATAATTATGTTTTGTTTCAAAACAGTTCAACGAAAACTGAGCTTATATGTAATTTTAATGTAAGGGGGGTTAATACTTTCTACATCAGCGATTTATTCACATTGCATCTGACCTATTGAGCGGATCTGTTTAGGCTTGTGTGTCTAACACTATTCACTACTGTGCTCTTCTCTAAACTGAATGTATTTATCTGCAGTTTTAGTTCCGTGAAAATTGGACGATACTGACCTGGTGATTTTTGTGTGTCTCTTCCCCTCTAGCATCCAGTGATATTTTGGATGTAACCGAAAAAGAGAGGTATGTATTTCAGTTACTACTGCCTTGTTTTATTACTTTAGTCTAAGTTAATCCCATGGCCCATTTCTCATTTAGGTGTAATGCATCTGTATCTGTAAGGATAATAGATGTAAGGTTTTTGCTTTAAACCTTATTCATCCATTCTGATGAACTGGAAGCCCTCTGCATCTCCTCCGCTCCCCAGTACTTCTCTCCAGGGCTGTACACAGTGTTGGGAAGGTTACTTGTGTAATGCAATAGGTTACAGATTACTGGTTACCTTGTTGAAATGTAATAAGTAATCTAACTATTTTGATTACTTCATCAATGTCCTGTAACGTATTGCATTTGATTACTTTTTGATTACTTTTCTAACAAATGTTTTAAACTGGGCAATAAAACTGAAAAGTCTCAACAGCTTTGCTGACACGTGTTGCCTGGGATTATGCCAAATGAAGGCATTTCTGTTCATCAAAAAGATGCAGAGAAACAAAATGAACGTTATACTATACATATAAGCTTTTACTAAAAAGGATATATTTGGATGTAACCCCTTTGTAATCATCATGATTTTGATTAGTAACTTAAAATTTAAAATAAATTTCAGTTACATTTATTTTGTAAGTTAATTACTCAACACTATTACATGTAACTAGTTGCAAAGGCCACAGATGAGCATTTTGTCTCTTTGCGGGTCACAGCGGAGAGACAGTCCTGCATAAAGCAGCCGCGATGCGCCAGAGGACCATTTGCCATTACTTGGTGGAAGCTGGGGCGTCCCTAATGAAGACTGACCTGCAGGTGAAGGCATTCACATCCATGAAACTAATATGATAATATTACATGAGTTTTTCACAGAGCATCTGAGGAAAATGCTCAGTCTGTACCAGGGGAAAACATTTACTGCAATGTGTCTCTTGATATGGATCTCATTGTTCATAATAAGTGAAGTGAAAGTGATTAGTTGTCATTGTTGATACACCATAGCACATAACCCATATGCTCAGGGTACCTTTCTGGTTGGGGATTCAAACTAGCAATCTTCCACTTACACGTGTGCTTCCCAGACCATCAGTGCACCACTGCCCACAGTAGAGCCAATTTACCTGCAACATTGACCGAGATTTCTCTATTTCTCTTCAGAGATGCCAGGAAAAAAATAATCCAGTTATATTTTGTTTTGGTTGTGAAATAATGAATGCCCATAATATGTAACAGGGACAGAATACCGAGGGATACAGTAGCTGGCAAAAGAGCGAATAGGCCTGAAATAGACCAACCATTCACCACAAGGTTCAGTGCTGCTTTTAACATTTATCCCAAACTTGCAAGAGGCTATTTAATACACTATCATTGTAGTAATTGTTATTCTGGTCCAGACATTCACCATAAGGTTCATTGTAGTCCAAACATTGACTGCAGAGCTGAACATAGCCCCTGGCACCATAATACAAATGTAATATCTACTCACTTCTACTAGGAGAGAAACGGAGAGAAATGGTGCACCATGTAAGCTGAACCAGGATCTTGTCCGGATGGACTCTGAAGTTGTCATGTATAGCATAACCTTGGTTTGTCAATCATCATCCCAAATTCTCCTGCGTTCCCTGAGAATATTTATTCACTGACTTGTTTGGATCTCTGCTGCTCTCCAGAGGTGCAGAACCTCTCGCTTTCATCCTCCTTCCTCATTTCTACAGAATTCTGAATAGACCCAGGTTGTCCACTTGAAAACTTGAGAGAACATTGCATTTGTTTCTCATAACAGGAAGAGAGACACATCCAAACCTTCACAAACCTTGAAAAGGTTTCCCTTTCTATTCAAAGTGTTCTGAAGGCAGATTGTCTGCAGGGCCTGTCGGTTTAGTCCTTGGGAGAATATAGAAGTCAGTGGTAACCTTTACAAAAATCTTGTAATCAATTTGTAACTTTTTGCTTAACATCATTTTCAACTGAACAGTTGAAACAACTTTGCCTATTACTAGTCTATGAGAATCTTTAGAATGAAATCTAATGCCTTGTGAAAATGTGTCATAAACACTCAATAATATTTCTGCAAGAAACCTTCTTATTTTAGCAGTATGTAGCATATCGTACATCTGTTCACATTGTAATCATCACCACGTGCAGCAGGGCATGTTACAAATTTCAGGGCAAAGAAACTTGCAAAGAAATGTGGGGAATTACGAAGGAGAGGAGAGATGGAACATTGATTAATTCCACTGGATATAGACAGAGCTGATTACTGGGATATGTCCAGCTGCAAGGGGAGACCAATTAAACTCTGAGAAATGAGGGATGGCAATAGAGGGGAGACAACTGGAGAGGATCATCCAAATGAATCTAAGCTCTCTGACTACCAAAAAGTAAATAAAAGGCACGTCTCATCATATGGTAATAAAGGCTCTCTGGCAAAGCTACAACACAGGCACAGTACTAAACAAGGACGTCATGTTTATGTATGTGATTTTTGCATGTACCTGGGAGTCAGGTCCACTCAATGAATCACAGTTAATATAAATAGCTAGTGCATAAATGTAAAAACATAGTTTAATTAATGTTTAATATAGCTTTGGTGCATTTTAACGGCATTCTGATTTCAATGGCGGCAGATGGACTTATGTTCTGGAGACTCATAGGCGATGCAGCGCATGTCTTGGGCTCTGCTGCCAGAATTCGGCCTGGTTAGGCATGCGTGCCTGGGCATGTTCTCTGTTTGCACACGTCTCCCTTTGCTATTTACGTTCATGGTAGCTTATGATGCCAGATTGCAGTTAAACAGTTGAAAAACTTTGGGAAAACAAACAGCTGCAGTGAGCTTGGTGTACAGATGGGTGGGGCAAACTAACATGAGCAGACCTTTATTCACCTGTAGTCAGTGTGTAATGATGAAAAGCGGTCTCCCCCTTTACCCCCAGTCCTTACAAACTCCATTGTCTCTGTGTTTTGCACCATAAGAAAGGGCTGTGGATCATCCAGTGCATCAAAGAATCACAACCATGTTTCATATTAGGATCTGTTGGGAGTCCTTCTGACCCCAAATCCACTGATGATATTACAGTTACTTATTTAGCAGATGCGTTTGTCCACAGTGGTAATTTTGGAGTAGTTTGAGTTAATCAAATTCCTCAAGTGTCCAACCGTTATTTTGACCCTGCCATACACAGGCTTTGAAGCTACACCTAAATTAAATGAGTATCCGCAATTTAGCTGCACACCATTTAGTCCTATGTGAAGTTGTTGAAGTAATATTGCTCAAGTGTATAACAGCTAGGCTCCTATCAGATCCCAAGAAGAACTTTAGAGCTTATACTAGCTTTGGTGAATATCCTAAACCAGCATGCTGCCCAGTTAATATCCCACTATCTTGGAAATGTGGGATATTAAAGCTGCTTTCTCTGACCAGGGTGACACCCCTAAACACCGTGCAGAAAAAGCCAAGGACCCTGAGCTGGCAGCCTACCTGGAGAACCGGCAGCATTACCAGATGATCCAGCGGGAGGACCAGGAAACGGCTGTGTGACCCAGCACAGCTTCCCTGCTCATGCCAAATGCTCAGCTTACCTGGGTAGGAAAGAGTGGAAAGAGTGAGGAGGCCAGTCAGGGCAGCCCATCCTGCTTCCTGCACGCTGGCAGCTGGAGAGAGAACAATGAGTTCTTTTGAAGTTTCCTACATTGCACTGCCAAAAAGACTATTGTTGTTGTGTTGTACAAGAATGCACAAAAGAGCTACTTTCCGTTTCTGTTGTGTTGTTGCTTTTTTCGCCACAGCATCAGGTCCAAAGAGACTTTGTTTCATAGGAGGACAGAGGGAGTTTTGCACAAACGAGGAACAGAATGTTTGAAGCTTGAATGTGTTGCCGATCTTACTGTTCTCCTGCAATATCTCCTTTGCAATATCAAATCTGTCATCACAGACTGTCTGGTGATAATAACTAATTATGCTCGAAGGTGACCAGTCTGTTAGCATTAGATTTTTGACTCATAAGAGAGTTGCTTAGATGTGTTTTATATGACTGCTGTAATTTCATTTTAAATGTTTTGACTGGTTTTTTTTTTTAACCAAACCTCAATTTGTTGGTTTAACCTCCATCTGAAGTTGACATTTTACATTTAAAGCCTCATATTTCTCTGTATGATTACATTATATTAGGAACCAGTATTGTTCAATGGCAAGGACTGAGGAGTATTATCATTGCAGTAGTTGTGTAGGTTTACAGGAGAAGGTTGGGTACTGTATGCTTATTTCAGAAGCTATCTGTCAAAGCATTTTTTTTTCCATCTTATTGCTTTGATGCCAATATTTTCAGCTGATTATCTGAACTTCCACTTAGTGCTGGTTAATGGTATACTTGTTATTACATTTTAAAATACACAGATATTTATATAAGGCATTGATGTACAAAAATACTATTTTGCGTCTTGTTATGTTTATATTATAAAAATGTAAATTTTATATATATAAATATTTTTCAGAAATTGCTAGCTGTTCTCCCATGTTACATATAACTATTATTGTGAAACATTCTTACGTTAACTTTGCAGATCCTTTTGCAGTTCTTACTAGAGAAGCGACTAGGAAGATTTAAGCTGTGTTAGGCTGTAACCAACTTCCACAATTTTCTCCCAGTCTAAATGGATACCATTCAGGTCTAGGTGATGAATTCCAAAGGAAGCTGAATGAAAAATTGACTCTGACAAAAAATGTGTAGAGGCTATTTATTTTCTAGACTATTTTTGGCTGTGTATAGAACTGATTGACAGTTAAAATAAGGAACTGTTTAGTTTAAGATTATGAAGGCTGTTGAAATGGCCATAACATCATATTATTATTATGTTTTTCAGAGTAAATTGAAAAGGCCTTTTTGCACGCAGAAAGCCTCCCTTTTGCTGTGCACCTGAATGCCATGCGTCTAGATCCACTGTGACAGCTGGTGGCTGCTTTTCTAATAATAATTTGCCTGAAATGTTCACAGGGTAAATATACCTACAATACGTGAATGGCTGACAAATGTCTACCTTCTTCCTTTTACGCCCAATGTGTCAAGACACCATGTAGGTCATAGTGTTTCAAGCATTGCTAATTAACTGCTAATTTTTGGATCTGGCCGTCTTTACGCTTGTACAGGGGGAGACAATAGTCAGTCATCCATTTTAAGCTACTGCTTTTTTATACAAAATAAAAACATATGACTAGCTTTTTCAGGTGGAGAAACTGACGTGGATGAGGTCTTGTCACACATGTGGTCCTAGTTTCTTTTTAATTCTAAATGTTCTTTGTATGTTAATAAAACCTTAAATGTTTTTTTCTTTCTTAAACCTTATACAAGAGCTTTTATATGTTGTACAGTGTTTCAGGTTCTCACACTAAGAATACGCCTTAGATTGCTGGTTGACTATGTAATATTTCTGGACTGAAGTTAGCTTGTTAAAATTGCTTAATAGAATTAGGTTTACACAGGTGTCATGATATGAAGCAATTCTGACTTCTTCCTAGATGTCTCCCCGAAATCTATTAGGGATTACGCAGTAGGAAAGTGTCAACTGTCAAATCTGTCAACTTTGCTTTTCTGGCATATCTTCACATATCTATTTTTTTCCTGCATGCTGAAATGTGCCCTTCTGAGACACTATTCAGAGGTGATTTAGAGATTTGCTGCCATTTCAGATCCTTCCAGTAGATAAAACTGGTTAGAAGTTAGTTTTGTGTGTCACGGAGAGGATGGACAAAGAAACGATATCTAGTCAAAAATATTTGAAAGACTAGTTTTTAAGATAACTCATCCTGTAAAGCTGGTGAAATTTTTAGTTAATATTAAGTCTATATTTTTGTCTAAAATACCAAGAAATTTGTTTGGCCTTTTTGAATATCTTGATAAGCATTTGGACCACTACCTTGGCAAAATTAGTATCCATATTTCCATTCTCTCCTGAATTCAGTAGGAAATAATTTAAATATGATCTATGGGCAGGGATGGACATAACTGGTACGCAAGTACGCATTCACCATTAAAAACGATATGTACAACAATCGATTTTTTGTAAAAGCGTAAATGCAAATAAAATAAGTACGCAATTGCGCTTTTACAAACATGACAAGAAATGTATTCTGGAGTATAACTTTCTGCGTGCAAAAAAAAGAAAGAAAATACCTTGCATTTTAACCTGTATACCGCAAATGAAGTAGAGCTAGCATTTAAAGATTAAAATGCATCATATTTTGTTTTCATATCAGCATAAATATACATAAAAGAAGTACAAATTTACACTGTTACCGTAATCGATTGTCGCACATATCGTTTTTAAAGGTGAATGCGTACTTGCGTACCAGTTATGTCTATCCCTGTTTATGGGTCATGATATTGCATGTTTTGACTGGCAGATAATATTGTCATATTCAACCAAATGTACATTCTGGATCTCAGAAGCAGTTTATTTGCTATTGTACCACTTAGCTACAACTGGACCAATATAAGAATGAATCCAGACATGATCATATTTCTGATGTGTCCTCTTTGTCCCAGCATATACGTGTCTGTTGCCTTCCAGAATCACTTGAGTGAGTAAATGATGGACTCAGAAGTGCCATTAAAAGATGCAGTACTCTTAGATGGCTATAGGGCTATTATAGTAATGGTACATCAATTTGTTACAGTTCTTTCCAACCCAGCTGACTATGGTCCCTAGACGGAGACCTTGGAAACACAGGCCAACCCTGCATCTTCTACGAGGAACTCAAAGTATTTAACGGAGTACCATAACGCTTAATTATTCACTATACACTCAGGAGTTCTAGCTTTGTTGTATCTTATGCCTTGAATTCATCCAGTTTTATAAAAATGAAAATAGCATGGAATTTATAAATATTCATTCACTTAATTAAGGTTCAATAAGACATTATTATTATTATTATTATTATTATTATTATTACACGCATACGTTTGCAAGGTTCATTCCATGCACTTTACAGTACGATGCTGTTCTGATTGGCCATCTTTTTGTATTTACTGCAGAAATGTAAGTTTTATATAATGTATATTCTGTGGAGACTGTTCTGCCTTTGATTTTTAAGCTATTTTTAGTTCCTGTATCAACAATATTCTTTTTTTCAATATTTACCTGGGTTTGGATAAAGTTATACCCCAGTGTACATAGTCCAGGGATCAGCTTGTTTTAGCACACATAATTTAGCCCAGGGATCCTACTAACTGATATATTGAGTGTTATAGGTTAAGATCCTGGTAACTAGTACCTTGATGGTCATAAAAATCATCATCATGTTACTGAAAGGGACCATGAAAGACTGGCATATTTTCATGAAAAACATGGACCCACTTTGGGTGTAGATATTATCAGCTCAGTACACTCAGCTGGGACTGAAGCTACCGCCAAAAAAAACACAAAAAAAACATTTTGTGAAAATAATATGAAAAGAAAATATGCCTTGAGTTACAGACTAGAGTATTTGGCTATTTTTTGTTTTGTTCTGTTAAGTTATGAACAATGCTGTCATTTGTCACATTTTATGATTATGTCCATATACAGTAATGTGTTAATTACCAGAAATATCAATTTACTTCTTTAGGTGGCATAGAAAGATAGACACATTTCTCAAAGCATCCAAAGATTATTTCTTTAAATGATATACCCGGTTTGCAATAAAAAAAGAAAAACAAAATGAAAGTTTTATGTATGCTGTTGCTGGCTGTAATTAGTGTCTCTACTGAACCACATACTGCACTACACTGAAGTATTTATTAATTAAAAGAAAACTTAGACGTCAGTGCAGCCTTACTGCAGAGGTACAGATTTTCAGCAAAACATTTAAAATATTCAACAGCTTTGCTCCATTTCACAAGATGTGCTTGATATGACTACAGCAAGACAGCAAGCAGGTGTGTTTTTGTGCTTCTTCATATGTTTATTCATTTAATGAATGTGTTAGGCAAACTGTTTACTGCCTTAGTTTATAAATTGGTGACGTATGTTTTCTGAGCTTCATTTGAGTTGCAGTGCAATTCAAGGTTAAAATACAGCATATATCTACAGAGCAAGATTTGTTAACTATAGTGCATTATACAGAAACTTTAATATTAAAGATTTAATTTTGTACTTACAGTCAACAAGAAAGAACAAACAAGTGTGAATTGTAAACTATAGACTTGTATGTTTGTTATGTGGGTTGATTTTAATGTCTGCTTGAAAACAATAAACCTTTTAAAGAAGTATAGGTTCCATGTAATACTTTTTACCCATGGTACCGCTATGAATTTCTTTGCAATTGATAGGCATGATGTGCGAGATTGTGACATGAAAGAACGTTCATATAGGCAAGTAAGTTACCTAAAAGTCCCCATTTGATGTTAGCTATGGATGGATGTCAAGGCAATTTGTAATCTACCTTTTGTGAGCCACACGAGGGTGCTTCATTTACTTATTTAAAAGAAAATTTTAATGAATCAGGAAATTTCATGTTAGCTATTTTTACTATTTTGCCTATATGTAACAGTAATGTTTTTTAGTATATATCCAAAGGGTTGGAAAATGGATGGATGGATGGAACTGTATAAATCACAGTCCAGGGAGTGGGTGTTCTTCCAATTTATGTGTGTTAGTGTAGTGAGAGCACAGTCAGGGGTATGTTTAGAAAGGCTTTATGTAGAATGATCTGGTTGGGACCAAGGCTGGGTGCTGGTGGACATGCACTTACCTACCCACCTTCTTCACAGCAACAGTCTCTGAGTGAAAGGACTCTACCCTAAGGTTACAGACTGAGATGTGGGGAAGAGATATCAGGCCAGCTTTCAGCTAACTAAACAGTAAGCAAAAGAATACGCCCTAAGCCTAGAAGCAGTTTAAGCAGTAATGTACAGTAACGAACAGAATGAACCCTAACACTAGAAGCAGGATGAGCAGTACTGTTCAGTAACGAACAGAACCAGCCATAAGCCTAGAAGCAGCATGAGTAGTACAATAATGAACAGGACCAGCCTTAAGCCTAGAAGGTCTATGAGCAGTACAGTAATGAACAGAACCAGCCCTAAGCCTAGAAGCAGTATCAGCAGTGCGCAGTTCAGCAGCCCTAAAATCTGACAGAAACAGGCCTCTGCCCTCCATATTGCATTAGGTGGACAACATATACTGGTTTTAAAAAGAGTCATCAGCCATCAGGCTTTATTTTCAAAAATCATCTTCCTCCTTTATGTAATTGGCTTTCTTCAACACATCCATGTATAAGAACACTGAGTGCATTGAGATACCATTTCCCTCGGGCCTCTGATGGTGCAACACATTAATACAAATGCAATACAATAAATAGAATATATATTATCAATCCTGTTCAAGAATATGATTACCTTGATTGTGCATGTGTGCATTGTAGTGCAAATGTGCAGTGTAGTGTGAATTTTAGAATTCTTCATTGACTTTTTTCTCTTTGGGGAAGAATGTTTTACATTCATAACAAATAATGCATACATAATGCATAATGCATTCATTTGTAAATATTTATAGCCATGTTTATAATGTATTATGAAGGCATTATGAATGTGTTTATAAATTTCTATTTTATTATTTTTATTATTTATCTGTGTAGTAAACATATATTTGCTTAGAATAAAAAAAAAACAATTTAACATTGTAACATAAGCAAATTAACAAAAAGTGATGGAGGTATTGATTAGCCATTCAAGTTGTGTACTAGTGATCGAGTCAACAATCACATGGGTATTCTAAATAATTACAGCAAATAACACAGGTGACAGTGTTGACAAGGACAAGGCTGGAGATCACTGTCATGCTGATTGAGTTAGATTAGTTTTAAGATGCTTTAAGAGGAAGGTGGTGCTTGAAATGATTGTTCTCCCTCTGTTAGTCATGGTACCTGCAAAGGAACACATGCAGTCATCGTTGCTTTGGACAAAAAAAGGGCTTTACATGGAAGGATATTGCTGCTAGTAAGATTGCACCTAAATTAATCATTTATTGGATCATCAAAAACTTCAATTGTTCAGGTTCAATTGTTGTGACAAAGGCTTCAGGGCACCAAAGAAAGTCAAGCAAGTGCCTGGACCGTCTCCTAAAGTTGAATCAGTTGCAGGATCGGGGCACCACCTGTGCAGAGCTTGCTCAGGAATGGCTGCAGGCAGGTGTGAGTGCCCCTGCACGCACAGTGAGGTGAAGACTTTTGGCCTGGTGTCAAGCAAAGGAGCCACTTCTCTCCAGGAAAAACATCAGGGACAGACTGATATTCTGCAAAAGGTATAGGGATTGGACTGCTGAGGACTGGGGTAAAGTCATTTTCTCTGATGAATCCCCTTTCCTATTGTTTGGGTCATCCAGAAAAAAGATTGTCTGGAGAAGAAAAGGTGAGCTCCACCATCCGTCCTGTGTCATGCCAACAGTAAAGCATCCTGAGACCATTCATGTGTGGGGTTGCTTCTCAGCCAAGGGAGTGGGCTCACTCACAGTTTTGCCTAAGAATACAGCAATGAATAAAGAATGGTACGAAAACATTCTCCCAACATCCAAGAACAGTTTGGTGATGAACATGCATGATGGAGTACCGTGCCATAAGGCAAAAGTGATAACTAGGTGGTTAAATGTCATTCTCAAAACTTTTGGCCAAGACTATACTTTAGCAGCCATAAAGTTAAAGCTAAAAGGTTTGGTTATACAGGGTATTTGATTAAAGTACTTTTGTGTTTCATATTCCCGTCCTTGGCTGTGTATAGCATAAATCAGGCAGGACCCATGTTCACACACTCTAAAAAACGCTGGGTTGTTTTTTCAACCCAAATGCAGGGTTGAGACTGCTGGGTAACAAAGTTGGGTTGATTTAACCCAATTTGGGTTATTTTGGTAACCCAGCGCTGGGTAAAAAAGGGACTAACCCAACGCTGGGTTATTTTGACCCAACAAGTTGGGTCACACGTTTAACCCAGCATGCTGGGTT